CCTTCTCGCTAGTAAGCCTGGAGATGTAGTATGCTAGTAAACCTTTTTCATCTCAGGTGGCTTTTTGAGAATAAGCTTCCTGACATGGAAAAGAAAACAGCAACATCCTAAAAAAAAAATAGTACATTGTGGTCTTCATAACTTGTAGAAACCTGGGGCTAAAGAACTCTATATAGTGGACTTTAGCCCTCAAAGTTCCCCTCCATAGTAATGCTTCTGCAGGCAGAAACACAATTATGGGGAATGTAGTTTAACTAAAGGTTTTTACCGGGAATGGTCTCCAAACCTTCGTACTACAGTTACAGGGCCTGTACTACAAGGGCGCTCAAAAGGCCAGATGTTTTAAAACTACAGCTTCCATGATGCTTTGTCATTTTAAAGGCATACAAAGCATCATGGGAGTTGTAGTTCCACAACATCTGGGGATCTATCTTGTGGGCACCCCTGCTGTAATATATACAGGTATTGCAGAAAATAGCCAGGTTTTAATAGAAGTCTCATATGCATGCATACCTGTAATATGTATTAATGTGTTGATCAAGAAGCTGTTCCAGACAGTAACCTGCAAAAACACAATGTATAATTACAACTAGCATTAGAAAAAAGGGGGAACCTACTCAAAAGGGTACATGGACAACGCTTCCACCAAAAAACAAATAACTATAAAGGTAATAAGGAAACACAGACTAAACTAAAAATGTTTCAGACTATCCTTTATCAGATGTTTGTTATTGCTTGACTGTTGTGATCAGCGCTATATTTCAAGGTTTGTATTGAACATTATTATGTACATAATATAAATATTACGTCTATTTTTTCCAGTACACTGATAGGCGCCACTATCACTGATTTTCCCACCATTTGGTTCACAGATCAAATTAGAAGAAGTAACCAATAATGGGAAAAAGGATCTATATTTATTAAATTTACAATATATAAATATACAAATGTAGATTTACATTTTTTACTATTGCTAAATGTTTTCCCTCTATTGATATATATTGATCTGTGAATAAAAAATCAGCTCTTTATTTGGTGCCGCGGGTAGAATTCGGAATCAGGAATCAGATTAAACTGTCTGTCCATTATCGGTTGTTTTCGTAATTTGGTCATATCACATTTTTTCAGGGTTACAGAATCTCGAAGGACCAGCCGATCACTCAATGTATGGATGAATTGCAATTCGTTCGAAATCAAATGCAAGTTTAATAACTAGGATTTGGAATAACAGAGTATAATACTCCACATGATCAAGTGTGACTCCATCCAATCTCATAACATTCGAGGTTGGAAAAATTCGTACTGCATAATGTTGACGTGTACTTTCCACGTTGTCAGTGTTGGTGAAGAGGAAGTGGGTTATGGGTGGTTTCAAGAGCCCTGTTTTTCTCAAACCACTCCAAAACAATAAGAAATCACCCCAAAAACAGGAGACGGTGGCTGTAGACTTATAACGTAATTATCACTACTCTGAGCTGAAGTGGTTATGGTGCTCAGAGTGCTCCTCTAAGAGAAACTGGCACGATTGTGCTTCGACAAAATATCCTAAACAAATAAGACATACCTCACATTCAAACCATGGTTATATTGTGCTGGGCCCTCCACTAAGTTAAAATACCCAGTAGATAGTTTTACTGTGGGAGAAAAATATGTACTACTAACCATAATCCCCACTGCTTAACCTCCTCTACGCTTCTCAGGACACTTGTTACCTAGGTGTGGAGCGATGGACCGTTTAAAGAGCCAATGTCACTTTTTTGTAGTTTTTTTTTCTTTATTGAATCCTTTGTGGTACCTCTATCGATTTTTCCTAAAAAAATAAAAAAAAATTCTTATATTCACCTTTTTTTTTTAATCATTTTTAGCAATGGGCCTAAGGAAGGTTCCATTTCCGTTGCCAAGCCAATTTACCCACAATACACCTGTCAGGAGTGTTTGCTTAACGTTGTCCTGGTTGCCCTCTCCCAAAGGCCCAATTCAGGCTTTTGTAAACAAATTGGGTAACATGTTGATGAAATGCAAGATTTCTAATGCACACCCACAAAAGGGCAACAATCTTCAGACAAAAGAGAACAAAATGGCGGCACCGGGATATCAAGACATGACACAAGGAAGAAAGGATACTCAATAAAATATATGCAATACCTGCCAAGTGTCCCTATTTAGGAGGGACAGTCCCTATTGTGGATGCAACCCCTTCTGTCCCTCTTTTCTTTCCTAATGTCCCGCTTTTCTAGGAGCTCCATATTGTTGGTGTGTCTGAGTGTATAACAGAGCTCCGCAGCAATAATACTCCCAGTAATGTGTGTGAGTGTATAACAGAGCTCCACAGCAATAATACTCCCAGTAATGTGTGTGAGTGTATAACAGAGCTCCACAGCAATAATGCTCCCAGTAATGTGTCTGAGTGTATAACAGAGCTCCACAGCAATAATGCTCCCAGTAATGTGTCTGAGTGTATAACAGAGCTCCACAGCAATAATACTCCCAGTAATGTGTCTGAGTGTATAACAGAGCTCCACAGCAATAATACTCCCAGTAATGTGTCTGAGTGTATAACAGAGCTCCACAGCAATAATACTCCCAGTAATGTGTCTGAGTGTATAACAGAGCTCCACAGCAATAATACTCCCAGTAATGTGTCTGAGTGTATAACAGAGCTCCACAGCAATAATACTCCCAGTAATGTGTCTGAGTGTATAACAGAGCTCCACAGCAATAATACTCCCAGTAATGTGTCTGAGTGTATAACAGAGCTCCACAGCAATAATACTCCCAGTAATGTGTCTGAGTGTATAACAGAGCTCCACAGCAATAATACTCCCAGTAATGTGTCTGAGTGTATAACAGAGCTCCACAGCAATAATACTGACAGTAATGTGTCTGAATGTATAACAGAGCTCCACAGCAATAATACTCCCAGTAGTAGCCTGTCTGAGTATAACAGAGCCCCACAGCAATAATACTCCCAGTAACGTGTCTGAGTGTATGAGAAGCAAGAGCTCCCACAGCAATAGCCAATACTCTCCCAATGCGTGTCTGAGTGGTGTATAGCAAGAGCTCCACAGCAATAATACTCCCAGTAACGTGTCTGAGTGTATAACAGAGCTCCACAGCAATAACATACTCCCCAGTAGCGTGTCACAGAGTGTATAACCAGAGCCCCACAGCAATAATACCCCCAGTAATGTGTCTGAGTGTATAACAGAGCTCCACAGCAATAATACCCCCAGTAATGTGTCTGAGTGTATAACAGAGCTCCACAGCAATAATACTCCCAGTAATGTGTCTGAGTGTATAACAGAGCTCCACAGCAATATTACCCCCAGTAATGTGTCTGAGTGTATAACAGAGCTCCACAGCAATAATACTCCCAGTAATGTGTCTGAGTGTATAACAGAGCTCCACAGCAATAATACTCCCAGTTATGTGTCTGAGTGTATAACAGAGCTCCACAGCAATAATACTCCCAGTTATGTGTCTGAGTGTATAACAGATCTCCACAGCAATAATACTCCCAGTAATGTGTCTGAGTGTATAACAGAGCTCCACAGCAATAATACTCCCAGTAATGTGTCTGAGTGTATAACAGAGCTCCACAGCAATAATACTCCCAGTAATGTGTCTGATTGTATAACAGAGCTCCACAGCAATAATACTCCCAGTAATGTGTCTGAGTGTATAACAGAGCTCCACAGCACTAATACTCCCAGTAATGTGTCTGAGTGTATAACAGAGCTCCACAGCAATAATACTCCCAGTAATGTGTCTGAGTGTATAACAGAGCTCCACAGCAATAATACTCCCAGTAATGTGTCTGAGTGTATACCAGAGCTCCACAGCAATAATACTCCCAGTAATGTGTCTGAGTGTATAACAGAGCTCCACAGTAATAATACTCCCAGTAATGTGTCTGAGTGTATAACAGAGCTCCACAGTAATAATACTCCCAGTAATGTGTCTGAGTGTATAACAGAGCTCCACAGCAATAATACTCCCAGTAATGTGTCTGAGTGTATAACAGAGCCCCACAGTAATAATACTCCCAGTAATGTGTCTGAGTGTATAACAGAGCTCCCCAGCAATAATACTCCCAGGAATGTGTCTGAGTGTATAACAGAGCTCCACAGCAATAATACTCCCAGTAACGTGACTTTAAACTGCAATAAATGTTTTTAGAAATCAGTCTGTGTCAATAAGATACATTGTTCTTGTTCTAGATCACATTTTAGTTGCATAATTTGTAAATAGTCACTTAAAATTTCTCAGAACAGCCCCAGCCATACTCCAACTCACACTCCTAAAATTTGTGTCTTTGTCCATTTGATATGTTGGGAGGCATGGGATATGCTGGGAGAAATAAAATCATTAAGATACAAGAATAAGAGAAGATAAACTGAGGGGAAAAAAGACAACATGGCTTTAACTTAAAACATGTGTTCACGACTTCTGATCCCAATTCCTTGTGCTTCTATTTGCCCTGATAAACACTATCATAGCATTTACTGGGTGTAATTCGCAGTGGATATCAGTAAAAATGTACTGACATCCAGATCACAAACTGGGTGTTAACCTTTGTCATTTTGTCTTTTTGCAATGCTTCCCTGCATGTGATTGTTTAGGGCCTGACAGAATTATTTTAAATTTAGATTTGCATGAAACGCTTCAAACCTCATGGGAAGTTCAGATATTGCATTGAGTGCCTTCCTGTGCCTTCCTGTGCATTAATGTCTAAACAATTAATAATAAGAAATTAAAAAATACACTTTGTTAACTATTAGCTTTTAGCTAGCTATCATAGTAGGCCTAAGTCACAAGTGACCGTTCTTGTTTAACGTTATTTCATTAACTTTATTTATTTATCAATAACAAATTCTGCAGCAAAGTGTAATTTATTGGGTTACAAAAAAGTGCAAAATTGCAGCCAAAATATAGACCCCCAAAATGTAGATCTCCTATGATAGATGACCTACACCTCCCATGAGCCTTGCTTTTAACCACTCCTCTAGCGCAATATACATACTGTCAGAAAGAGGTTTGTGAATTTGAGATTTCAATGGAACCATTGTTACCTTGTTACTATACTTCTTCCAGTCAAAATGAGATTAATGAGATAACTACATGTTAAACCTGTAAAGATTTTATTTTTCAGCATTTAAAAATCTGCCATGTGGATTCCGCAATGCAATTTATTTCTCCTACACTATAAATTAAACGTCTGCTACACAGACTTTTGTGCATGATGTAACAACAACAAGCGTGCAGCGCCACGGCAGCCGCTGTAGGCATTTTCATAGCATTTCAACATGTGGCAGTTTAAACAGCACAATTTATTTTTTTTAAAACATGATAATAACAGGCTGTGTAACATCAGTAGTTCGTAGTAAACATGCTAGGTTAGACGTGTATATGATAAATTTAATTACGCTTAAGAGTATGATGAGTTTTATGGCATTGCTTTTCTGAGAGGGGTAAACATTCATACTTCAGCCAAAATCACTACAGCTTAGGGTCTCGCTTGGTTAGTTAACAGGATGAGCATATCAGAGAGTAGCAGTCAGAGGAGTGACAGAGAGGGACAGCATTACATGTGCAGACATCTTAACACTGGGTGACATTGTGAATCCTGTTGCTGCGTAGTTGTATTGTGCTGATTTGTGAGTTAGGCAGAGAGCCGGCTAATGTTTAAGACCCAACTAGCCTAAGAAGACATTTAACATAAAAGCAGGTAAAAAAACAATATAAAGCTAAGACAGCTGCAGAGCAGCCTACATGCGTATGTGATTCCCAGTCAGGCTGGCCCGTGTGAGTCATATATGGAAGTCGCAGCAGTGGCAACTGTTGTTAGTGGTTAGCCCCATAATGGCGGTACAGCTTTAGGTAGTGGGCTTAAGTTCATCCTATTCCCAAGGATGGGAAGTGTGAGTCTTGTGCACTGAGGGCAAAGGTGGCTGTAGCATTCTGATGGCTCTGTTGGGCATCCCTCCAGCCCCAGGCCGGTTGACAGGCCAGCATCTTCGTGCCACGGACTTGGGGGCTCCTGGTGTCCTAGTCCTCCACTATAGGGGCTAAGCAGGAGGATTTGGTGGTAGGTGGCCGCTTGTAGCGGGTGATCCTCCGCCTGTGTGGACGGTGCCGTGGGGTTCTGCCCCTGGGGGCTCTCGGCCTAGGTGATCTCTTAATGGGAGGAGGTTTATGTGCTTTGGAGACATGGATGATCAAAGGGGGCCCACTCACCATCCAGCTCTCAACCTTCCGGTCGTCCTCCCGATGTTGGGGCTTTGCTGCTTTTTGGCGTGCCTCCCACTCGGCCCAGAAGCTGGTAACGATTTCGTCCAGCCTCCATTGGGTGATCTGTGCCTGGTTTAGAGGCTCCGGCTCGGATTGCTGGGAGTTTTCGTCTTGCAGGGTAAGTCGGGCCGCCATCTTGTGTGTTTCCGCTGGGGCAGTATCACAGCTAGTTAGGGCGATTAAATTAAATTCACTTGGTGCCAGGTACAAGCCAGGGCTGACCGTGATAACCCCCACCTTTCCAGAGGTGGGGGGGAACAGGGCTGTGTTACAAGCTTTGGAGGGCACTAGGTTGCGCAGAGCAGGGGGATCGGCCGCCTCACGCGTCCGGAGATACTGCTAGGCCTCATTCCCGACACCCTCGACGGACGCTCCGTGCACCCGTGGGCGACAGACCCGGGGCACCTCGGCTGGCTCCTGAGGTAAGTATGTCTAGTTAATATTTTTGCATACATTTTTGTTCTCACATTTATCTTTTATTGCTGTTGAGCAAGGAGCTGCATATCGAAGTAGATGATGTTATTGAAGTTTAGCTAATAAATGTAATGAGGTAAAAAAAAAAATGTATCTCAAGGAGGACAGCCATCAGTATTCACTAAGACCATGTGTATGGCAGTGTGTGTCTGTCAACATGCATGTGTGTGGCATTGTGTAACTGTGTGTGTCAGTGTTTGTATGCTTGTGCATTTGTGTGTATGCGTATATGTATCTATCTGTATATGTGTGTGTTAGTATGTACATATGTTTGTGCATGTGTGTATATATGTGGCAGTGTGAGTATGTAAGTATATGTGTGAATGTGTGTATCTGTGTAAGTACTCTATTTATGCGTAGCAGTATGCATGTGTTTGGTAGTGTGTGTATGGTTATGTATTTGTGTGTATATGTATGATAGTGTGTAAATCTGTGTATCTGTGTATGGCTGTGTGCACCTGTGTATCTGTATAAGGGTTTGTTTGTGTCTGCTCACGCGCATTGGGGGACCTGCCAATAGTTTTGCAAGGGGGCCCAAGAGTTCTGGTGGTAGTCCTGATCACAAAATAATTTAAAAAGCGACTGTTTTCCTATAACTTTATAATATGACGAATCTTGATTATTGCATTTGCATTAGTCTTTTACAAAACCCAATACAACAGCGACACCTTGTGTTACTAGAGAAGAAATGCATCATATACGTATTTCAGGGCTCAGTTGTAACCATTCATATGGGTATTATAATTTCTATAGCACCAACGTAGTGTGTGGTGCTGTACAACGGGGATGTAAAACAGCAAATAACTGACACATTGATGTGGACAGGAAGAAGAGCCCTCACCTGTTCAATGGATATCCCAGTCACATAACCAGGACACTTTAATTTCTCTATATCCCCTCCTGTCTATATTCCTGACATTGGCTTTCTTTATTTTCAGTTCTCCTTAGAGGAGAAACATCGCTTCCATACATACATATATCACTGAATTAAATTATAAAAACTATCTATAACTTGAGTTATGATTATTTTTCACGTGATGCTTGCTTTTCATTTACATTTATATTAAAGATTTAGTAAAATACATCACAATCCCAGGCACAGCCAGGGCACACAATGCAAATGAGGAGGAGGAGAAATTGAAATGTTTCAGATTTCCTCTTCTCTCTACATTGAATGCCAGATGCAAAGAACAGAGCTTATAGCAAAGATTGACAAGCAGCCGGGTTTGGATGCGGCCAATTGCAGGATAAGGAGGTGTGGATTTCTAAGTTTTTTTATACCTTAATTTTTTTGTCCATACTTTTTTTTTCATACACTAGTACAATAATATTAAAATTCATGGGAAGACCAATTCACCTTTAACAATGGCTTCCGTGCTATCTTCTTTTCCAGATATTTCTTTTGGGGTTTTTTCTGTTGCTTGTCTGATATGAGATATTTCCATGATATTGACGGTCCCTGATATTAGCTCCCATCCATTCAATCTCTACTCCCTGATATTAGATCCTTTAATAAAGTCTCTCTGCCATTAGAAACGTTCTATCTCCCCTGGTACTTGCTTCTTCCATTTCAGTACCTTCTCACTGATGCTAAGCTTCCTTCCATGCTATATGTTGTCCACAACCCTGTATTCCTAAGGCTTTAGTGTCCCTGTCCCTAGTTATATAGGTACTCCCCGTGTTTGTGATAAAAATGTGATGTTTCCCTAATTTAATAATTTCCTGACATTACCTTGTTTCCTGTAAAGATACTCTGCATAAGGGTATAGTAACTTTGACTTTAAATCTATATATGGATTTAAAGGAACCCTATAGCATTAAGAATACAAACATGTATTCCTAATGCTATAGTTTTAATCTGCCTATTGATGTTCCACACCCCTCCCCCTCTCACCTGTCATGGTTTGAAAAGTGAGTTTTACTTTTCTTACAGCTGTCCACGTGCCATTGAGATGAAGTGGTCTGGGTGCATTGAGTGGTTATGTAAATAGTGCATAAACTGAGCACAAAATATGTTTGGCTACCTCCGTTCCATCTATCTCATCTCCAACCTAGAAGTCTTGCAGTCCTGTGTAAGAGCCCAAGCCAATTAACACTGGTGGCATTTGATTCCTGATTCCATATTTAGATGTTAAGGATAGTTGAGGCTCACAGATTAGTGCCTTGAGTTGACTGTGTTCAGTGGAGAATACGGGAAGGTAAACACAAGGGATGTACATTAATCATTCAGGATTAAAAAAGAAAATTCAGCAAGCTGATAAACAAACACCAAGGAGTATTCATATTACCAGTTGTCCATCGAACATCCTGGTGAACATATATAGAGTCAATTAAACTATTCCTTAAATGGTAGGCTTTCAATACATTGGATTGGTGGGAGATACCTAGAACTCAGTCAGTTCTGCAGACAGATACACAATCCCTCTTAGACATGGGGCACTTCTATTCTCTACTAAATGTTGTATAACAGTGGTTCCCAAACTGTGTGCCATGGCACCCTGGGGCGCCGCGATGTGCACACAGGGATGTCGCTGAATGTTTCCCATGTTGCTATGATTATAGAACCAGGAAACATTAATGTTCAACAGGGACCCGGTCGAGTGTCGTGGTCCTTTAAGGCTGCGCTGGGCCCCTGTAAGGAGGAGGCAGACGCAGCGTGAGGGGAGAGGAGCACGAAGAGCTCCAGACCCCTCACTCCCACCAGCAGCAGGACTCCAAGCCACCCTCCTGGCACATAAGGTAAACCAACAGGAGGGAGGCTGGAGATATAAAAAAAAATCACTTATGTGTGTGTATGAGTATGTGTATTAGTGTGAGTATGTGTATGAGTGTGAGTGTGTATGAATGTGTGTGTGTATGAGTGTGAGTGTGTATGAATGTGTGTGTGTATGAGTGTGTGTGTGTGTGTGTGCATGTGTGTGTATGTGTGTGTGCATGAGTGTCAGTATGTGTCTGAGTGTGTGAGTATGAGTGTATGTGTTTGACTGTTTGTATGTGTATTAGTGTGTATGTGTGTGTGAGTGTATGTGCATGAGTGTGTGTGTATGAGTGTGTGTATGAGTGTATGACAAATTGTATGTTTATTAGTATGAGTGTGAGTATGAGTGTGAGTATGTCAGTGTGCTTCTGTGTCTGTGTATGCGCACACATCTGTGTATGTGCATCTGTGTGTCAGGGTGTGTGTTTTTATGTCAGTGTGTGTATCTGTGTCATGGTGTGGGCATGTATCAATAGTTGTGTGTGTCAGGGTGCATGTGTTTATATGTTGGTGTGCATCTATATGTGTGTATGTGTCGATGTCTATATGAATTTGTGTATGTGTCATGTATTTATATGTATCTGTGTAAGTATGTATGTATGTGGTAGTGTATGTGCATACATCCAAGCAGTCAAACACCAGCACAACATACAAGCACACTCCTGCAATCTAACACAAATATTACACACAAATATACCCCTGCATTCAAACTAAAGTAAAAACATACACACACACCCCTTCACTCACACAAAAATACTTCACACAAATGTACATCCACATTTAAAAGTGAACATTACATTCAGACATAACCCTGCAATCAAACGCAAACATTACATACAAACACACCCCTGTATCTAAACACAGAAATTTTGACTTGGGGTGCCTTGGAAAAATACTGAAATATTAAGGGCGCCTTGAACCTAAAAGTTTGGGAACCACTGTTGTACACTATTCTTCTATTTCTCTTTTTTTTTATTATTGTCATTCCTCTTTCTGCTCTTTGGTGATAGGAAATTCTTTTCAATGTTAATAAAGCTCCTTTCTGTTAATGTACTAAGATATAAACTTTGGGGGGGAAAAATAAATATAATATAAAAATATATTGTTATATATAAATAATGCAATTGACAATATTCAGACATTTCTTATAGTGTAACTCTTTTTTCAATTTTAAATCACATGGTAACTAAGATGAAGATTTTTTTAACTTGGTACTGGCTTGTCAATTGGCAAATTGCAACAAATGATGTGAATAAACTCCCATTTACATGAATTATTACATAGCAACCATAAGGAAAAGGAAAGAAACTCCTAATGTGTTAAAACAGACAGATTAATGAATATATCATAATGAAAAATAAACTCTTCTTTCAAAACCTACTAAGAATGTAGGCAGACGAAAAGTTACTTTTGTATACATCGCATTTTCAGTTTTCAGCCGCACCTAAACGTATTTATCAATCTCCGGCCACACCTCAGTCCATTGGCTAGTGTCCAGCCACACCTCGATCTCATGGCAACCATCCAGTAGTATTTAAATCCACTCATCAATTTCCAGCCCCATCTAAAAACAAAGACTTTTGGCCAGCTGATCCTAAATCCATTAGCAACAAAAACAGAAGCATGAAGTCCACTCCATCAATTCAGCCGCACCTAAATAGAGGTTCCCATCCCAAAACCCCCCAAGACCAGAGTCAAGGCTTCTAGAATGGGAATGCAACAGTATTTTTACAGATAGTTTCTAAATTCCTAATAAAATCAGTTACTTCCTCCTTTGCGTTTTGTTTTTAGTATCCATAATTGTGTCTCTCAGATTAATTAAAAATACTAAAAGGTATTTGGAGCAGATCTATAGAAAAAGCTCGGGTGGACAACTGGTCAAATATCCCAATGTCAAAACATTGTTTTCAGCTAATAATATATTAGTTACATAATTACTTTCTATGAATGAGATATATATATATATATTTAATTAATATAAGGCACAAGAGGGTCCGGAATATAGGAGAGTATCCCCTCTAGAAGGCAATTGGTTCAATTATGGAGATGCCAACAACTGTCTCATTAACATCATAACCCTGGAACTATAGAGTTTGTCCAGGCCAGAACACAGATGTATTTCATCTCACTAAAGCACATACTGAACCTCTGCATACAGCCTGTATCTCCAAGTTCATACCAGATTTTTCTGCATTCAGTTACTCTAGTACGGAATTCACATTTAACCACACAGGGTCGTAGGCATTGAGAGATTGTACAAATTAAAACCGCCTGTTCAGCTGAGGTTAAACAAGACCCGGGCCTGTTTTGTAAAGAGTGCCAGCTACACCTATTTATTTTGCTAACAAAACAACTATTAGATGTATGGATATAAAACCATATTGTTTCCTGTGCTAGCTTGGTGACCTCTTTACAAAAAAGAAAATATAAACATAGGCAGTAACTTCAAAAGGGTGCACCAGCAACATTCTACTCACAAATAAGACACATGTCAATACATGTAGTATTCTAGAGCAGGGATAGACAACCTTCGGCACTCCAGATGTTGTGGACTAGATCCCCCATAATGCTCTTACACCTGTAATGCTGGCAAAGCATCATGGGAGGTGTAGTCCAAAACATCTGGAGTGCCAAAGGTTGCTTATGCCTGTTCTAGGGTATGTGCATCTTCTATCCAGGGGGGCCCAAAAGGCAGAACCCCAGATGTTGTAGAACTACAACTCCCATGATGTGTTGCATGTTTTTAGAATGCTTTAGAATGGCAAAGCTTCATTGAAGCTATAGTTTTAAAACACCTGGGGATCTACCTTTTGGGCATCCCTGTTTTAACCTACATGTTTGATGATTAATTTGCGTACCTAATGGAACCCAACTTGATTATCAGCCACCTTTTCTTGAATAACAACATAGTTTGAATGTACTTTATTTAACATGCAAGCACATGTTTTGTGGAAATGGAACTGAGTTTTAATACGGGGGGCTGTCACAATGTCACCTTTTGATTATTATAGCGGTCATGCTGTGCATGTGAATTTAGCTGTTCCACGCTTGGGGTTCCGCAGTAAGTTCCAGGGTCTGCTGGCTTGGTGGATATATCCTTGGCCTTGAGCAATGTTCTATGTGCATTCAGTCTGCAATAATACAGTTACATGATCTCACCTGTATACCAGCTCAATAGCTCTAGAACAGTATCAGACTGGTGGGATAGTGATTGCTTCTCATTGCTAGCTGTTAAAATGTCTATGAATGTTATGAATGTTGAATGTGAATGTGAGATTGAAATTTGCCTGTTGGTGCCTTTCAGGATTTCCATTTACTTTCACTTCCCAAACGTCTTCATTCCTACGTCCATTCTGCTAACTACTAGAAATGCCATATAATGTCAACATAGCCTGATTCTGCTCTACAGCACTGTAACACTGTTACAGAGTGTTATCAAAATCGGTTGTCCTTATTTTTACATATTCATTTAATGTTCTGATAATCTGTCATATCTGGGATTTTCAACTGGTTTGATAGGTATTTATCCTTGGATGTGTTTTATTAACTTACAACTTCCTATCACCTGGATGCCTGGAGTGATTCAAGTCCCTTGCATCAAGGCCCTGGGGAGATAGCGCAGCTAAGCGGACAAGGGCATATGTATGAGTGTGGGGATAAATGCATGGGATTGGTTGGGAAAGAGTGTGTGGGTGGGATTATGTTCTGTGTAAATTAGTGTGGGGGAGGTCTTACCTCAGTGCCACTTGGGATTCCTGCCAGCAAACAGCTTCCCTCCCGTCCGCCCGCCCAATTAGTATATTTAGTCACAGCTAGCCGGGGGTATGTCCTTGCCAATTGAGTTTGAGGGGTTACGTTTAAGTATGTGGAATGAGTTGAACAAGTTTTTGAGGTCTCAACCTTCCCTGCTTCAAAGGTTACCTGAGTTGACGTGGAAAGCATTGAGAAATGCTTTCTAATGGGCGGTTTCAATGCATGCGCGGCTCTTACCGCTCATGCGAATTCGGAGCTGACATCAGCAGAGGGAGGAGAGATCCCCAGCGCCGAGGAAGCAAGTTAAGTGGCTGAAGGGGTGGGGGGACCTAATCACCAGGAGTTTGTTTTCCTGGCACTATAGTGGTCCTTTAACGGTCGGTACCCCAAGATATTTACATAAAGCTGGTAAACTCATTAAAGAACAGATGTTACATTTTGCTGTCATCCCAATCTGTTCCCGGAAAAATGTATGCCAGCATAAATTGCGCTGCTTGGTTAGCTTTTAATTGCGCAAATCATCCCATGTTAGAATAGTAGCCTCAGATAAATCTGATGGTACAGACATTCATTGGTCCTTAAAGGACAACTGTCACCTCGACACTATCTTTTTTAATATAATAAACCTCAGCAAGTTTTGAAAGTAAATAGATTTTTTAAACAAATAAAGTATATGTTAAAAAATAAATGAGAAAATCTCATCCCCTCTTTTAGTATATGAGAGAATCCTTCAGCCATATACATGTATCTTGGGTCGTACAGTGATGGAAAACCCGTTTCTACGGTCTTCCTCGCTTCACTCCCTGCACAGAAACATGGAAGACCATAGAAACTGTCTGATCCAAGGTGCGTGTATAAAGCTCAAGGATCCTTTCATATACTATTTGATATGAATTGGTTTTTCTCATTTCCTTTCAAAACTTGAGAGGATTATTATATTAAGCATTTTTTTTTAAGTGATAGTTGTCCTTTAAGGAGTTAAAAAAAAGTATTGAGTGAATTCTTTGAATACCTTTCGTACACAGTAACTCCATACTATAAATCAGGCTTCCCCAACTCCAGCCCTCCAGATGTTGCTGAACTACAACTCCCATGATTCTATGAATGAAACAGATAGGCTGAGAATCATGGGAGTTGTAGTTCAGCAACATCTGGACGGCCGGAGTTTGGGGAAGCCTGTTATAATGTAATGCTAACCTCAATGATATCACAACCATCCAGTGCAGGTTTTATGGTGGACAATGTCTCTTCTGTACAATACACTTCTAGAAAAATGTACAGATCAAATAATTTTCTTACCTGGAGTTTTAATTCCGCTCAGGTGACATGGCTGAATTAGAATGTTACCTTTTCTTTTAATTGTTTTTAGCATTTCAAACACACATACACACAGATGCTGACAGAGCTTATTCAATTGCATAGTTGCAGTTTATTTCAGTCTGAGGACAAGATGCTGATATAAGCCAAAAATTCTGGGGAAAAAATAACATTTAATTAATAAATGGATAATCAAATTTGGCGAGCTCAATGGTCCGATTGCATTTTGCCCTCTTGAAAGTGCAAGCAGGTAATGTTTTTTACTGATGACTTATGCACAGTCAACATTTTCAGTTATTTAACAAAAATTTGATTATTTTTTTGTAGATTAAATCTGTTGTGACTATGGCTGGGTTGGAGAATTTTTCCAGGTCAGCTATTCTGGTCTGAATTTTCACATATGGATTTAATTCACGAGTTTAGTGCATAAGCCAGATTGAGTTCATTCACAAAATAGAGAATAACGGTGAATTGAAATAAGAATTACTCCTTTTAGGCCAAACTATCGAAAAATTCACTAATTCAGCGATTTTCTCCAGCTTGGCTAGTTTGGCCTACAATTTATAACTCCCTGATAAATTCTCCACAATTCCTGGTTGACTGATTTACTGACATCACCCGTCTGGTGAAAAAAAGAAAAAGTATCACACAGGGTAAATATTAACATTTAGAGTTTAACAATTAACATTTGTTAGATTAACAAACTTTTTTTTTTTTTTTTTAAGATAATTAGGAACAGTTAGTTTGATTTAAAAAAAGGGGGGAGAGAAAATAAGAAAAAAAAAGCAGACCATTTAAAACAAGACAGAAGAAAAAAAAGAGGTCAAAGAATTTAAAGGGAGGAAAAGAAGAGGGAGTTAGCCAGCCGATAAAAGCAGACTGAAGAGAAAGGTGAAATAGAGAGATGAAGGGTAAGACAGGATGAATTGGAGTAAGGCGTAGACACAGAGAGACTTCAAGGAGTGTGTGAGGGACACTGGGTGGAGACCTGCTAACAGAGGGAGGAGAGAGAGAGACGGAAGTAAAAGAGGTAGAGAGAGTGTGAGAAAGAAAGAATGAGCAGTAGAAAGTACAGGACAAAGACAAAGAGACAACGCAAAGCAGAAAACAAAAGATAAATAGAAGAGGCAAGAGAAATCGAAAGAGAGAAAACAAAGTTTGGGGAGAACAAAGAAGAGCGAACGAAAAAAGTGGGGAAAACAAACAGAAGGTGTTAGACAGAACAATAGACAGAAGAACGATGATGGTGTATGCTTTTCACAGGACTGTCTACACAAAACTCCTGTCCAGTTGTCTTTTACCTTTCTGTACAGCGGTAAGTGACAACCCTTTTTCCACGGATTCAAACACAAAACCGATCACACATATATTGTGACGCAAGATCACACCTGGAGGAGGATATAAAATCATACTGCAAGGGATGACACATGACGGTGGATTTACATACCACCCAAGTGTCCCTATTTAGGAGGAACAATGCCTATTTTTGGCTCAAATCCCTCAGTCCCTCTTTTCTAGGAGCTCCATATTGTTGATGTGTCTGAGTGTATAACAGAGCTCCACAGTAATAATACTCCCAGTAATGTGTCTGAGTGTATAACAGAGCTCCACAGCAATAATACTCCAAGTAATGTGTCTGA